GGGGGGGTTCGCGGGCAAGACAGAAAGACATGCGGGACGGAACCACCCAAGGCAGCAACGACCAAGGGCGGAAGGGGATGGAGGTCAGATCGCTGTTTACTTTTGAACACACATCCACAAGTCACTCATCCACCCACCACCCCACTCCGGCTTGGCTTCTATCGCACAGCATGGACAATGGACACCAACGAGAGCGCAGGCAGTGATGTGATTGATGCAGCGGAGATAATTCGGTAGACAGATAGATGGATCGAACGATTGATGAACAGCTTTTCGGTCGGCTGGCGCGTTGCCGTGTTGTCGTGCACTTGATTGAGGTATTACCTGACTTCAATGGTGTGTGTCTGTGTGGTTGCGTATGAGACGCGACGCGACATGAGTGAGTGGTAGGTATGATGCTCTCTCTTTCCATGTGCTGTCTAGCTCGTGTCTGTCCGTCTGTCTCTTTCTAGTTATCGTACTGCTGGCTTGGCTGGATGGCTCATGTTATGTGTGTGCGGTTTGTGCGTGTCGCCTATCTATCTATCCCTCCGTATGTGTGTAAGTATGTCTGTAAGTCCGTGTGCACGTGCGCGTGTGGTGTGTAGAGTCTACTAATGAATGCAGCCTTATACAGCCACCTAGCTGTGTGGATGCTTGAGCGAGAGAGAGCGACTGAGAGACAGAGCGAGCGAGTTGAGTCTATCCTATCCGTCCCAGCGTTTTGAGTGCATTGGCAGCAGCTGGCGTGGCAGGCACATGCAGGACAGACAGACAAACAGACAGACAGACAGACACATGTATGTATGTGTGTATGTCAGCTGGGCTTGACGGACAGACGGATAAACAGACTCAACGACAGGATCGGCACAAGACCGAATGAACGAACACACAGTGGTGTCTGCGCCAAGCCTACATCCATCCATCCATCCATCCATGCGTCAAAACCTTCAGCACACGAGTGAATTCGATACACATGTGACATGCGCACAAAGTGAATGTCTGTCCACCTCTTCCTTCCTCATCTCTCCCTCCCACCCATCGGCTGTCCGGCCGATCGGCCGTATTCATTCTATGCTATCTACCGATCCATCAACCTACAGCTCCACTCTGCGCCTCTTGTTAAGTGGCCGCCCGCTGCCCCCCACCTCTCCCCCACCCTCGTCGCTGCCTGGCTGCTCCTCAGCAATCGAGGTGAAGACAAGCCGCAGCAGTGACGACACCCCACCGGGCCAAAGTAGCCGCCGACCGTCGTCGTAGTCGTCATCATACCGGCCCCCCAAAGTGTCCATGGCAGCGTCCACCACCGCACTCATGGGGCCGAGACGACCCAAGACGCGGATGAAGGGGGCGATGTCTGCTTGGTGGGCGTTGAGGACCTCCAGCGTGACCGTGGTGTCGACGATCTCCCGGAAGGCCCAGTGCCGCATCCACTCCTCACGGCCCCGCTCCCCCAGCCAGGCCATCAGCACTCGCAGTGGGGACACCCCTGTCGCCTCGATGTGGGCCAGGTAGGCAGCCATGTAATCAGACACCTGAGGGACGGGACAGACACACAGACGGGCGGGCGGGCGAGCAAGAAGAGAAGAATGGATGGATGGATGGATGGCCGTGGGGATGCTTGTGGTGGTTGGACGGCCGTTGATGCCTAAGCACCTCTGTGGTGATGGCGGCACCCATTTGGCCCACCTGGTCCCACTTGCCCTCCAGAATCATCAGCCGCAGGCAGTGCAGCGCCAGACTCCTCATAGGCAAGTCGCGGATAGTCGCCGTCGCGTTTATGTCGTGGACCTCGACCATGGGAATTCGACGGCCGTCACCATCTCGGTAGTCGAAGTCATCGTGATGGTCAAATGGGAACGCCTGGTTGAGACCTGACGTTTTCTCACTCCCAAGCATGCCCAGGTAGAACATGGGCATGCATTGGTCGGTGTGGGGGTCGATATGGTCCATGGGCACAGCTGCTGCGTCCTCGTCGACTGTCTTGTTGTCACCGCAGGGGATGGAGTAGCCGAAGGAGCATGAGCAGCACAGGACGCCCTGTGTGGGGTGAGCCTCGGAGGGATCGACGTACACCTCTAAGGCGCGGCATTCCGAGAGGGGCAGAAGGCAGTCGCCCATGCCGCCACGCCGGTCCCTCGTGCTGATCGAACCGTGTGGACGTGGACAAGTGCATGAAGACGCACCCAGCTGCACGCCAATTCCCCCACTCCATGTGCTGCATGAGCTGCCAGGCGTGTCGACTCCAATCTCGCGCTCGTCAGCCATCTTCTGCGTCTCGAATATCACAGCAGCCTTACATACAACACACGACATCCTCAGACAGATGAGCACGCCGCAGTACTGACTGATCCATGCGTACCGCTTCGTTGAAGTTGGTTGTCCCTGTCGCCTCGGTGAGGAATCTCTTGAGGATTTCGAGCCTGACCACACACGTGCCTGTGTCGATCTGCTCTTTCAGGCACGTCAGCATGGCGATGACGAAGCCCTTCATGCTGCCATCATTGCCCTCCTCGCCAGATGCCGTCCAGTGCGATGCCACATGAGCCGCATTCTTGACCATGTAGGGCGCACAGGCCTGCATCAGCTCGCTGTGACGCTGAAGCAGACACCTGGACAAGGGGTGAAAGATGACACACAGAGCGGCTGCAGATGGCAAGAAAGCTGACCTTACGAGGGGCCTTTTGAAGGCCATGTCAAGCATGGCACGACAGAGGTCTTGATCACCGTGCCATCGGTTGCGGAGAACCTGAAAGCAAACACACAAAACCATCGTGCTCTCCAACCAGCCTTGTTCCCGCCTTCGTGGTAACCTTCTTGCCGACGTCGTCGAGCAGCTTTGACTCTTCTGTCGGCTCGAGATAGTCGATGGCTGCCACACAGTCCAACACATTCTGACACAGAGTCAACGAACAGGCGGATGGACAGCACTCTGGTCCCTGTTTGGTCTGGTCCCTACGGTGTACCCTACTTACCTCTCGTGTGACACTTCTGAGCACATCGTTTCTTGCCTGCAGCACCACGCCAGCGATTGGCCTAGAGATTTCCTTGAGCGTCACTGTGCGCTCAGCCGACTCCTTGAAGTCGCCACCAAACAGCTGCAGCACAACCAACGCAAAGAGCAGTCACAAGCAGCGTTCTTCTCCTGTCCTTACGGCTCGGAAGAAGCCAAAGCTGCTGCTGACGGCCTCCGATATGACCAGAGTGTCCTCCGATGCCTCAAACTTCACGCTGATGGGCCCAGACATAACGCAGTGCAGATAGTGCTGCAATCAAGCTACAGCCGACTCAGACGCGCGCGAGGACGGGATACTCTATCCGAAACGAGTGCGAGCTCAAGCCCACATCCCTCAAATCGGTTTGCTGCCTCTCTTTTCGCCTGTTTCGTGGTGTCGAGGCTTTCTGATGACACGGAGGATGCATCAATGCAAAGAAAATAGAAAACGAATTTGCCGGGTTCGAGAAAAAGACAGATTTGATCCTCACTCGATCAGAGTGGAATTTCGATGCCTTTACTGCCTTTCCTTCTTTTTGTGAGTAGCTCTACGGGCTCAGGGTGGCAGGTGTGGGCCAAGGGCATGCCACAAGGCAATTTCCATCTGCGAGCTCCTGACACGCGGCTCGCAGGAGCTCGCAGGAAACTTTCTTGTGGGAATCGACCCGCGTCACTCAGGGCCTTCATCGAGGCATGGGATGTGCTCAGAGCTGCGCCAAACTCGTCGAAACCTGTTCCTTCTGTGCGAAAAGGCCGGTGAGGACCTTTCCTGTAGTTAGCTGAATAGAGGATCTGCTGGGCGGTAAGTCCCAGAGTAAGAGTGCTTTTACTTTAGTAATAAGACCGATGGACTGGCCAATCAGTCAAAGTTGTTTCTGTCCATGTATGGCATCATGAAGGGTGGTCAACACAGATCTCACTTCGGTGATGGCTGATAAGATCGTGGCTCCTCAGAATGCT